CGGTTGTCGGTCCCCGCAGCGAGCTGCCGGCAGCTCCGGCCGCCTCCCCGCTGAATAATTAGGTTGAGAAAGTAATAAATAGCTATCGGTCTTAACCACTTTGAAAATAAAATTTTTTAAAAGCACAAAATATATGGTGGCATTTTTTAATACACAAGCTTTCATATGAATAGCAGCGCCGGTTTCCTAAGAGGAAAGTAGGCAGCTGCGTGGTTAGATAAAATAAGAACCAACGTACTCGGTATCTTTGTTTGGCTGTGCCCGACCAAAGAATCCTCTGTGCCGGCTCTGATCAACGGCTGAGGAGTTTTACACCGCCCAGGTGTTTTACCTCAAGGTCCTTTCCGTTTTGAGAAGCATTTTACAGAAGATCCGTGGATAAAAAACCCATCTTGGTATTTTAATCTTGTGGGCGGTATCGTCTGGACCCATATTAAAACAAACTTGCGAGCTGCGATGCTGTATATTTTAAGTGTAAAGTCGTAGAACGAAAGATGTTCAGATGTCGGCGGCGATTCCTCACTGTACTGAACTGACACGGTACAGACGAGACTTGGAGCGATGCCGGCTGCTCTCCTAGTCACTGGCTTCACCCCACCGGCGGTTTGAATTTTAAATCTTCGATAGGCATTTTGTAGAATTAGCTATCTTTGCTTTATTCATGGAAAAATGCTTAACCAATACTGTGTTTTGTGAATATGCCAATTTCAATGACTTCATCATTCAAAGGTTCCCGAGAGTAAGAGGTCTTTTTCTGTTTCTGAATACTGAATAAAAATTGTTTCCTCAGCACCCAAATGCATTGGTACTTATGAGGTCTTATCAGTTGTAATTTATTGATGTTGTTCTCATCATAGCAAATCACCTTCCTACATGACCTATGGCTTATCTAAAATAAACCCGATGAATAAGGTTTTCCTAATTTTGTATTTAATTTAAACGTAATGAAAATACAGTAATGATTTTAGACAGCTCACCTGCTTCTCCATACTGCTGTGTACGAACAAAGTTAAATATAACTTTTGGAGTGTCAGAATAAAGCACGCAAGAAAAACGGCATGTGAAAGGCAGAGCTGTTCGTTCTGATTCTGACTTCGCCGTGCCGGTACTGCCTGCGTCCTCTCTTCCCCCGCGGTCTTCAGAGGTGCGGGTGTGCACCAAGAGTTTGAAGCAGAGGCGGGAGGGGAAAAAAGCCTGAACCGTACCTTTCCTGGTAATTACAGGAAATAAATAAACAAATAAAACCCAACTGGTATTATTTTTTTCTAGGCTCTTTTTGTATTTTAAAATGCGTTTGTCAAACCGATAATTTTTAAAGTACTTATTAATAATACTACCATTAATAAGTCCTTTAAAAATTATTACTAATACAATGAAAAAGTCAGTTATAGTTAATCCTGTGGTAAAGAAGTCACCATTATTAAGAAATAAATCATGTAATTGCTTATTGGCATGCTTTAACTGTTCTCTTGAAAAACAGGATGCTTTACCAATCTTAAAGCTTCTGTTACTTTAGCCGTTTCTGATAAAGCCCGCCTCCTTCGAGAGGAGCGCTTTAAGAGTAAAACCCCATCGTGATGGAGTGATAAACGCTAGCCCTAAAGATGCTCCTTGAGTTTAGAGTAGGAGAGAGGGTTAGGGCTATGTGAGAGACCGTCCCGTAAAGTGTAACAGCTCCCGGGGAATTAGTAAGAAAGCGTAAGGAAAGGCTTGTGGGGCGGGGCGGGGAGCTGCAGAGGTACTTTTCAGATGGGAAGGAGCAGAGCGCAACGTGAGTGTATTGCAGACTGTCTTACCTCACTTTGTTAGTTTAGAAGCAGTGTTCTCAGATTTTGTTGGTTTGGTTTTATTTGTGTGGTTTTGTTTGTTTGGGGTTTTTTGGTGACGCTTTTTGTTAATTCAGCTTTTTGGTGTAGTAGTTCTGTGCAGCAATTACAACTGGTTACATTTCTTGGATATTTTTGATCCAAGTCGCTCAAGTCCATCCCGGTTTGAGTGACAGAGACAGAAATTGCAGCTGCTGTGTCCCACTTCAGGGAGCTAGCAAGCTGCCAATTTCTCAGGAGAAGTAATTTGTTTCATAAACAAACACAACTATTTGAAAAATAATGTCTTCTAGTTCATGTGAAGTAGATGATATTACAGAAAGCACTTTCAGAAAACTTGTGTTACATTCCAGAAAGCTTCTAATGATTTCTTCTTCTAAGAAAGAAGGGGGAGATACCCTAAGAGCCTTTCTCTTTTTATCCCTGTTACCTTGTAGTCACAAACCCCAACAGTCTTTATCTAAACATGTCACATTTCCCCACCCCCCACTCTGGACAGGTAACTTTTAAGTTCATGCTTCCTCAGGCCCCTCTCAGCCTGCCAGCCACCACTGCCCCTTGCCCACCCACCGAGTCGGCTGTGAAAGTCTGGAAGAGTGGAGCTTGCCAAAGGGAAAGGCTGCAGACTTGCCAAATCTCATGTACAGACGTTATGTTACTTAATTTTGGCGTTTCTTTGGAAGGACTGTACTTTGCTTCTTTAAATGTAGGTGCTGTTTTAGAGTCACACGAGATGATTTGACATCTCTCATTCAGATCTGATGCTGTTCTGGTGGAGTGAGAAAACTGGAAGCATAAACAGGGAAAGAACCAGAAAAATATGAGATAACCTAGGGTAAATGTTATATTAGTGAGGTGAAGGAAAGTAACACCCAGCAGAAGGAGAACACAGTGATTATTTATTTGGCCTTTCCTATGCGGCAAGTGCCTGCTCCCGCTCCCCCCCTCAGTGTGGCTGCCTCAAGGCCTGCTCCCCCAGCCTGTTTGAAGCCAGAAGGTAGGTGAAAGTGTGTGTAGCCCCACGTTATCCTCACGGAGCTCAGGAAAAACAGGCACCCAAGTATTCTTTATATCTCTTTTTTTAGTTTTGTTTGGTTTGCTCTTAATATACAGATTAACTAAAACCAAGGCAAAAACTAGGGGACATCACAAGGCATCTCCCACCTGACTGGCAGCTGATTTAAAGGAGATAGCACTTGATTGCTTTGTTCCTGGGCCGTCGGGTACAAATGTACTAATTAACTCCAATTAATTAGCACCCTTGTAACTCCAGCTTAAAGGTTGTGGTGCAGGTAAGGGTTGTTATCTGTGAAAGGCTTCGCCTGGCCGTGATCGACCACCGGCTCTGGCGCCCCCCCTCAGCTCTGGCGCCCCCCGGCAGGGGCCGAGAGGGCTCTCACACAGGCGGGAAAACCTCACCTTCGCCAGGCACCTGAGAAGTAGAGCAGGGGGAAGAACGACGCAGGGGCTCTTTTAATGGTGGGCTGGGTGCGTCGGGGGCCGCAGGGCTGAAGTATAAAGCGTGAGGAGAGAGGAGAGCTTTGCCGGTATCTATCTTCTGGCGTCCCGGAGGCGCGGCCTCCTCGCGCCCCCAGCCCGCCGGCGACCTGTCCTCGCCCTGGGGCGGCGCCGCTGTCCCGAGGGCCGCAGCGCGGGCGGGG